GCTCTCTTGCGCTCACATTCTCTCTCTCTCTCTCTCTCTCTCTCTCTCTCTCTCTCCTCTCTCCTCCCTCTCCACACTCTAGTGTGTTCCTAGAATTTAGAGTCAAACTGAAATTAGTTGACTTGGTGACCTCTTTGTAATATGTCAAGGAAATTTTAAAATGTAGGGTCCAGGGCTGCAGCTCAGTTGGTAGAGACCCTGCCTAGCAGGTACAAAACCCTGGCTTCAATCTTCAGCACTGAATAAACTCAATAAACTTAGTGTGGTGGTGCATGCCTGTAATTCCAGCATCCCAGAGGTGGAGGCAGCTGGATCAGAGTTCAAGGTCATCTCTGCAACCACACTGCCCAGGGCATGCTCTGTGCTGGCTGTTCTCAGCCATCCCTGCTGCATAGGCTGGTTTCTTAGAATATCCGTGAGTGGCAATGTTGATGGAAGCTGACAAGGAATGCAGGCAAAGTGTAGAATGTTCTCAAAGCAGCACTGGCCTTGTTTCTGAGAGGTTCATTTTCCTGAGCCCAGCTCCTAAGTGTCAGAGGGTCCTCTGAGGGAGGGAAACCAGGGACACAACTTATCAAAGTACCGGTCTCCCTCCAGCCTGTGTATGCAACGGTGCGGAATGGGAGAGCTGAGGACTCACCTGTGTTTTACAGTTGAAGTACTGTAGCGATTTGGGGGGAAAATCACATGTGCTTTATTGTTTATTTTAATAAGTGAAATGAAGTATAAACTGCTTTTGAGCTCGTGCATCTATGTGTGAACTCACTAAAAACTGCAAAACTCATAATGTATATGCATATCATTATCAGCCAGGATTAAGTATGACCTGGACTCTCTCTGTGCATATACCCTATCTTCAAAAAGAAACTCAAGGGGCCCAGTGGCAAAGAAAGTTAAAATTAAGCATAAAACCTCAGACATTTGTGCTATTAGTGAAATAAGACCACGTTGTAAATTCACAATACTGCGGAGCCCTATGTAGAAGTTCGGAGAAGTTCTGTAACTGACCCACAGGTACCCAGCTGGCATGTAGCTGAGCCAGGCCTCAAGCTCAAATTCTAATTCAAAAGTTGTGCTTCCACTGAACCGTACCAGACAAATAATGCTTTTTCAGAAGTTTGATGGCCTTCTTCTATAGACAAATCACCTCACAGAGGAATGCTTTTAGTGGAAAGCCTGCAGACTGCTTTCCACAGTGGGCCGCCATTGGATAGGGGTGAGAGACAGAAGGCAGAGGCCTCTTCTGAAGAGGTGGCCTATGGTTAGGTGGTAGTGGCTCAGGGAGCAGTCATCGCACACACAGGGAAGGACCACTTATTATTAGTGAGAAGGAAAGTAACACAGGGCACTTTCCATTTGGGGGTGGCATTCCTAAACAAACAACAGAGGGAGGAAAGTTAGGTACTACATTATGAATGTGAAGCTACCAAAAGTTGACAGCCCCCACCCTGGTGAGTTCCTAGAAGGGGAGAGTCCTTCCCATAGGTGTAATGAGACAGTTGCAGAAGAGCTGGAGGAATTTGCCCATGTGGATCCAAAGCTCTGCGGAAACTTAGTCCCCCAACACTGAACATTTCTGCCTTGAAAATGCAACACAGCTTAAGGCTCATTTGTTGACAGTTGACACTTGAAAGTGTCCCCTTTAATATGTATATTGTCATGTTCTTTAGATGGAAGCATCAATGTAGGGCTTCTAGACCTTCCCAAGGCCACAGGGTCCACCCACTTGACCTCTTTCCACTCTTTTTTTTTTTTGAGACAGGGTCTCTCTATAGCTCCAATTGGCCTGGAACTCACTTTGTAGACCAGGGTGGCCTCGAACTCACAGAGATCCTCTGCCTCCCGAGTGCTGGGATTACAGGTATGCACCGCCATGCCCGGCTACCTCTTTCCACTCTTCCAAGTGCCAGAACACTTGATCTACTTCCCAAGGGGTGTTGCAAGTGCCTGGCCATGAGACAGTTTGCCTTGGCCTCCACCTAATGATACCCTTTCCATCAGGCTGGTATAGAGTGGAAACTGAGAAATGCTCCTAGCCCACTTGAGAGAGCTGGATCCAACAGACAGAGATCAGGGGAGGCCTGTGAAGTGTTAGATGGAGCTCTTTCTATGGCTGCCTTCCATGACCAGGGGATCTCAAAGCTCATTTCCTGAGACTTTTTTTTTTTTTTTTTTTTTTTAGCTTACCTGCTTTTCTTACACACATGCGCCACCTCACTCCTGCATGAATACACATAGTTCCTGAATCATTCATTCAAGGATGTTGGATCATTCTCAAATCCTCTTACACAAACTATTTTCCCTGAAGGTAATATCAACCTCTGGTTATATTCCCAAGTTTGGTGGTAGACCTTTAATAAAAAATGCTCTGTCAGGGCTAGAGAAGTGGCTCAGTGGTTAAGAGCACGACCTCGTCTTGCAGAGGACCCAGGTTCAATTCCCAGCATCCACATGGAAGCTAACAACCGCCTGTAACTCCAGTTCTAGGGAATCCCACGCCCTCTTCTGACCTCCTTCGGTATTGCGTGACGTGGGTGCACCTACCTACTTGCAAGCATTACACTCATACATATAAAATAAAAATAATTAAAAAAAATGCTGTCTCAACAGGCTTGCATCATAGTTTGTGGCAGGTTCTGGGTGTGTATGTAGAAGGAACAGAATTAGTTTTTTCCCTGTTCCAGCTAGAGATGGTGATAAGCTGCCTGGTCTGACATCTGAGCACAAGGAACAATCAAACAAGAAAAAGCCTGGGGTCTCTCACTCTGGGGTCCCCCATGATGAGTGCTGTTTTGGGCTGGAAACTGTTTTCTCCCAGAAGCAGGAGACTAAAGTGTTTTGAGTATTTCATCCTAGCAGTTGAACTTAGGGCTCTAGACCCAGCCTGCATGTATGTATGCCACATGTGTGCAATGCCTGCAGAGGCCAGAAGAGGGCGCTAGATCCTTTGGAACTGGAGTTACAGTTGTCAGCCACCATGTGAGTCCTGGGGACTGAACCCAGGTCCTCTGGAAGAACAGCCAGTGCTCTTAACTGCTGAGCTATCTTTCTGGCCCACAGACTCACTTCTTAATAAGTCTGTACTAAGTAGGAAGTGAACAAAGAATTTGTGGTCAGAGATAGTAGCTGCGTACTGCATACTTTGATGGTTCTAGAGCACTAAAAGGCTTTGGGCTCATGTGGTTTCAGTCTCTTGAGTTCGAGTGGGAGGCAGGGCCTTTGTCTCAGATTCCCTGGAGCACAGTGACAGGTTGGAAGATGCCACTCAAAGAAGAGGAGCTAGGTCAGAACTGACCAATGCTTCACTCTATAGGGGGCTCATTCCTCATGAAGACCTAATAAGAAAGTGCCAGGTTGGCAAGTGGGACTGCAGGGAAGACTGGAGGAGGCACTCCTCCCAGAGAAGGGTCAAAATCAGTGATGCTTTTGCCCACGGAGGTCACAACATTTTCTTGAAGTAACTTAATAAAAAGGAGGAACACACCTGGGTACCTGCACAGCGTCAGCAGGTATGCCAGCTACAGGGACAGGCTTTCAGATTTCATCTGTCTCATTCAAAAGTTAGTCAGTACCCTCAACATGAGCCCGTTTTCCACAGGCATGAGTGTATCTTAAAATATTACACATAAGGGTATCCTCCAGAGAGTTAAGTGGGGGTCCACAGCAGCTGGGCTATTTTAACAAGACTGAGTGGCCATCAGATCTGCCAGCTTACTTGCTTTATTAAGCACCCCACCCTTCTGCTGGAATTTTTGGCTTTATCTCTTGAAGTAACAGAAACATCTTTTCTATCATTGCTTCCTCCACAAAGTCAACTGCATGACTATATTTGATAGTCAAGAAAACCACTGCAAATAGTGCACAGTGCAAGTCCTCCAATGGCAAGCTCTCACTTCAACTCAACGTCTCTTAGTTTCAAAATGTGGAAAATCACATGGCGGAACCCACGTATCTCGCAGCACTAATCTAGTTGAAAAGTTCGGCATGATTGCTTCTGACTTCTGCTGCAGCCTTGTTGATTTTGGCCCCGTGTAGAGATTCTTGTTTATTTGTGCATAAAAAGTCTCTGGAAAGAAGACTCGTTTTTGGGGTCTTTCCATTAAATCATACTGGGGAAATGATAAGTGATTTCTGTCTTGTTTTTTCAACAACCATTGGTCAAGGATGACTAACCCCAAATATGCACAATCTTTCCTTAAACTGGAGTGTCAGGACAATATCTGAATCTCTCACCAACTTAACTATTTCTTAGCCAGATAAAGTTTTTTATAAAATAGTTATATTTTCTTCTGCCCAGAAATACCTCCTCCAAATGGACATTTTTTACTGATATTTCCACCATGAAAATGGACAGAGAGGACAAGGCTTCTGAGAGGCCTGTGTTACAGACCATGATGCAGAAAGAACAGGGAAGCTTGGGGACTATAAATCACAACTTCTATTCAGTGTGAAGACTTTGTATGTTCTTAGCATAGTAACCCTATATAGTAGGCACCTGATTCCCTCTCCATTTTATAGATGTGGAAAAGAGCACGGGGTGGGAGTAAGGGTCAAGTAATTGATTCAAGTCTATACTGATAGTGAGACATCAAACCTGAAGGGAATGAGGCCATCTGGCAGCAGACCTCTTATGCTTGGCCTATTAAATAAATGAAGAAATGGATTGGTTTTTGAGTATATATATATATATAATGAGACATAAAGCTGTCACTATGTAGTCCTGGCTGGCCTGAAACTTGCGATTTAGTGCTACATAGTGGCTGGCTTTGAACTCAACAGAAATCTGCCTGCCCCTGCTTCCAGAGTGTTGGGATTAAAGGTATGTGTTCCCACACTTGACTGTTTAGGTTTCAAATTTCTCAAAAGTCCCATATGTTAAAAGCTTAGTCCTTGACTTGGCACTATTGGGAGACAGTGGAACCTTTAGAAGGTGGAGCCTAGTGACAGATCCTTAGATGACTGAGGGTATGCCTTAAAAGGGAGTTGTGGGACTCTGGCTCCTGCCTCTTCCTCCCTTTACACCTTAGGTCAGGGGGTAAGCAGTTGGCTTTCTATGAGCACCTGTCATGATGGGCTGCCTTGCCACTAGCCTAAATAAAAGCAGTGAGTTCACCTAACCATATAGGGAAAATCTAAAGCTGGGGGCCCAAATAAACCTTTCCTCTTTATAAGTTAATTATCCATGCTAAAGCAGGACTAAGAACACTTACTTTAAGACATACACTAGCAAAACCTGGGGAAAGGAGCAAACTCAGTTTGAAATTGGTCAGGCCAGCTCTGGGTGCTCCTGGTAGCCAAACCTCTGAGCATTTTAACATCTGCATAAAAGGGCTGCTCAGTTTCCCCTTCTAACACTATATACACCATTCCTGTTCTACAGCCAAAGCTACAGGGCTGCAGCAGTCTGCATCGGCAGCAGATCCACATCTTTCAGTTCTGCCATTGGAAAGCATCTCTCTCTCTATCAGAAAGCATTCCTCAATATCTATATACCTAGCAATAGCAACTGTTGGTGCAGACTTTGGCTCTTTCCTAGGAAGGAGGTGATAAAAGAAAGAAGAGTAAAGAACATTCACTAGATGTGCTAGAATGTTCCCATTGTAGACACAGCTGAGCAAGTTAGTCAGCAATTATGTATTGTTATTTATAGCCATGGAGGAGGGTGGCAAAAATCCCAAAGGAATACCAAGTGCTGAGAGTAGAAAAGAGACAGTACAATGCTACAAGTTTCCTTTGAATCCATATGCCTAAGAATCCCTTGGAGACCCCAAAGTGGTCCCACTTTATAATCAGTTCTGTGGCTCTGGGGACAACAATCACATGAAGAGCTTGTCAAGCAGTTTTAGGAGAGTGGGTTTTGCAGGTAAAACTATGAAAAATCTTGGAGACTTCTGTGGACCCTCTTATAGCTGGGATCTAGGATGTCCTCCCAAAGGCCCATGTATTAAAGGTTCGTTCTCCAAATTGTGGAGCCTAAAAAAGTGGTGGACTTTTAGGAGATGGCAGGAAGTTGGGTCATTGAGGGTGTGCCCTTAAAGGGAATATTGGGACCCCAGGCCTTTCCTGTCTCATTCCCTTTCTTTCCTGGCTACCATGAAGAAGCAGCATTCTCTACCGTGTGCTCCTGCCATGGTGTGCTGCCTCACCACAGGCTCAAAAACAGCAATGACAAAACCATTCAAGAATTGGAATCTGAAATTATGAACCCAAATAAACTTTTCCTTATTAAGTTGCTTATGTTACCACAGCAATACAAAGCTAACTAAGACAGATCCTCCCTTTGGTGATGGAGGCCATGTGTGACCTTCCACCACTGGTCAGTCAGCAGAAATGAAGTGGCTTCTGTTGCCACATGCTGTAGCATTCGTGAGAAGTTGCTAATTCCTTAGGTATATAACTTTCCACATGAAAACAAGTTACAAATCCTAGTCTCCTACCAAAAAAGATAAGAGCCCATGCTGTATTCCAAGGACTTTGCTGGTTTTCTGGGTCCACTTCTGTAGGGGCTGACTAGATAACGAATGTATACATTCATTCATCAAATATTTACTAAGCAGCACCTGCTCCCTGTTAGTCACTGAGAAGTAAACAGCAGAGCAGGAGAACTGTGCCATGAGAAAGTTCTACCATTGCCCTGCAGGGTGGGGTTAGATAAGGACATGAGTAGCCAGGACAGGGGAAGTGAACTTGGACCATGGAGCACACAGCCTGGCAAGGCATTCATCTGTACAGAGACCAGATCATGGAGGCAGCAGCTCTGCATGGCCTTTAAAGATTTAAAGCCATCAAAGGGGACTTGTGAGACAGATAAGGACCAGGATCTTGATGCAGCGTCTTCATCAAGCGTGAAGAGATGGGCCTGGTTCTTGGGGCACACAGAAGGCCCAGGGGAGCTGTCAGGGCCGGAAGGCAGTTACCTTGCAGTCGCATCCAATGGTTGTGCCACACTCCTCACACGTGTTGGCATAGAGCTCCTCAAAGCAGGCCACACAGTGGGGGTTCTCCTCCTTCAGAATGTACTTCTTGCCAAACAGAGATTCATTGCAGTGATGGCAGTCAAAGCGTTCAGTCATGTTGGCACCTGACTTTACAGCAACCTATCGAAAAAGAAGAGAAAACAAAACTCAGTTTGGTATGTGAATGCACTTCACTTCATTAAAAGCAGGAGTCATTACTGATTGTGTCAGACCATCAGATTGGGGTAAAGGCATCAGAACCTCCATCCCACCTGGCTGTGTGTAGGCTTCCAATGCCTGACCCTGCTTCACCTCTCCCTTCTCTCCCTGTTCCCCAAAATAGAAAGGCAGGCATAGAAACAATATTTCCATCTCTATAAAAAGATTTTCCATGCGCACTGCTTTATGATTCATGAATACGAACAGGAAGAGAGTGTGGTGGGAGGGTACCTGACAGGGAACTCTGCAACGGGTAGGCCAAAAGAGCCTCGGCGTTCACCTGAACACTACACTGGGAAGTACAATGTGCAGGAGGAAATGCCAACTTTCCTTAGAGTGTCATTCCTCCTGAATGAAGATATCTCCATCCTTCAGCTATCCACGTACCCAGAGAGCAGGATAAAGAGAAAGGCTCAATTCCAAGGACATGGATTATCACACAGTTGGGAATGCAGTGACTACAGTCAGTGGCTTTCCAGGCAACACCTCAAGCTTTGTGAAGAGGAATGAGAATGTGTCTCCTTGCCAGACACTACATTTTTCCAGGATGAGAATGCCGTGTGTAGACAGAAAGGGATGCCCTATGGAGTGGAGGGAGGGAGCAGACGGTTCTTACTTTCCCACCTCAAATCATCATCCCTAAAAAAAATCATGTTAGAACTATCATGGATACAAAAAATCCACTATGGGACTAACAGTACAGATCACGGCCTCGAGAACATTCAAAACACAGAGTTAATTTTTTTCTCAGGAGATTTCTTAAGCAGCGATAATTTTTTAAAGTGAAAAGTTTTCTTTTAATCAGTCATTAAAGAGGCACACTGGTTGGCTGTGTAACTGAGTAATGTTTCACAAACTCTAAGCAACCTTAATTCAATTTCCAGTCATTTCAAATCATTTGGGGATGAAGTCCCAGAATTCAGCTGTCTGATGCAAATAAACTCTGGCTGCCTGGTTTATGATTACAGTACATTTGATAGTGTTTATTAATCTGATACCCTCGTGTACATAAGGTCGTAACAACTGTAAGCAGAAATGAGACCATCTTTAAAGCATCCATCTTTGGTTTATTTCTGTTTATAGAATAATTTTCTTCCAAGAGCCTTGGATGTGCAGCTGGACACATGTGGCAAGATCCATCCTTCAAAATCGCTCTTCCCGGAGTTAAAGAAAACATTGTCTGGACATTCTTGTGATAACATCATAAGATGAGACTCTTGAGCACTTGAACTATTATTTTGAAACTCAATGTATGAATGTCCTTTGTACTGAGGCCATCTGGGTCTGCAGCAGCTCTGCTGGCAGAAGAGTCTGTGCTTTCCTGTAATTCTTCAGTTATTGGCCTTGAACATGCCTGTTTGCTTATTTCATCTCAGTTGAGAGTCATCCTTCCAACATATATATTTTTCCAATAAGAGTTGCCATTTAGCAGTGGAGAAAGATTACTGCCTATTCTGTTCATACTAACAGAAAGATGATGGAGAGTGAACTAGCTTATAGATCAGGAAATTTGAAAGCTGGAAACAACTCCTCAAATTATCTGTAACAACTACCTCATTTTGTGGATGGAAAAATGAGAGCCCAGGAATGGTGATGAGAAAAGAGGAGTCTCAGGAGCTGTCCCAAGAGCTACCTAACTGGGAAAGTGAACTCCTGAGTGTAACTGGAAAGGTGGGGGTTTGAACAAACAGCAGCCCTGCTGTGGAAAGGAGGTTAATCTGCAGGCTGTGCATTTATCTGTGTCTGATACCAGTGAGGGACACCTGCTTCTTTCTCTGGTCATGATGCACATGATGTATTTTCCACCACTTTCTTCAGCTCCTACAGGTTGAGAGCAGGGATAAAAAACCCTAAGAGGGTAACTGCTGGAAATTAGCAGGGATTCCACATCTGCTAAATGTGTGAGGCCATTCCACACTGAACGTCCTCATTCTTGAGCCCAAGTCCCAGCAGAGATGATGCAGCAGCTGCACTCTGCTCTGGGGGTCCAACAGGGCTGACGCACTTGGCCCCATGTCCATGAAATCATTTCTCACAATGGTAGAGCTCACCCTGCCTTGTTCCTTTATACTTTCTAAGAGATCACTCCTCTTTTTTGCCTCATCCAATTCTGTAAGGCATAAAATGAGCAGTCATCACCAGCTACAAAATACAAGCTGCATGTTAACCAGGTCCTCTTTTTAAATTTATTTATTATTCATTTATTTATTTATTTTTATGTATATGAGTGTTTTGCCTACATGTATATAAGTACACCTGTGTAGTACAATGCCCACAGGGGCCCGAAGAGGGCATTGGAGCCTCTGGAATTGCAGTTAAGGACAGTTGCTGGCTGCCATGTGGGTACTGGAAACAGAACCAGGTCCTCTGGCAAGAACAGCCAGTGCTCTTAACTATTGAGCTGTCTCTCCAGCCCCAACCAGGTCATCTTAAAAAAAAAAAAAAAAAAAAAAAACCCAACAAAAACAAACAAACAAAAAAACCCCAAACAACAACAAAACTGTTAACAAAATAAGTTCACTGGGCACCTAAATGAGCACCTGCAACATTATAGGAACTGGTTTAGATTTTTGTGAACATGGCTACAAACAGAAAAACAAGTTCTGGCCAGGTTTGGTAGTGTATGCCTTTAATTCCAGTACTCAGGAGGCAGAGGAAGGATGATCTTTGTGAGATCCAGGTCAATCTGGTCTACATATTGAGTTCCAGACCAGGTGGGGCTCCAGGTAGACCCTGTCAAGAAAACAAAAACATCAAAAACAAAAACAAGGTCCAAAAGAAACAGAGCCAAGGACTATGTTACATAGAATTTAAGAAGTTTAAATTTGGACTGAAGAGATGGCTCAGAGGTTAAGAGCACTCACTGCTCTTGTAGAGGACCCGGGTTCAATTCCCAGCACCTGAACCATCCTTAACTCCAGTTCCAGAGGAATCCGAAGCCCTCTTCTGACCTCTGCAGCACTGCACAGACACGGGTGCACTCACATACATGCAGACAATATACTCATACATATAGAAAATAAAAAAACGAAAGAAAAAAAAAAGTTTAAATTTATGTGTGTGTAGAGGAGATATGTGTGTATGTGTACATATACAGGCACACATATTACCTTATATATGTGTATTAATTCAGACTAAACTAGGTGTTATATGGATAAAGTTAGAAAGGTGGTAAACATTGGGGTATATAAAATGAGTTTTTCTTTTCTAAAATGTTTATTGACGTTCATGTGAGTCACATTTATTTCATTGATTTAGTATTGTGAAGATACTAATACTAAACAAAAGAAAAAAATGCATGTTAAAACCAAGGCAATGTAGTATCAAGCAAGTAGTAGCCTGTTTTTCTGATTATTACTTGGGTCATTTTTCAAAATAAAAATATGTATGTTTCACTTATGATTACTTATCTCACCTAGGACTTTTAACACATAAGCTTATTTTGTTTAATGTAGATGCTTTTTAGAGTTTTTCAGTACTTGAGACAGTCACATGCCATTCATAATATGACATCCTTGCATTAATCTCTGATAACTTGCAGCGAGTTGACTCTTCCCTAGTTGTAAAATGTAAAGAATGTAAAGACGAAAGGAAGGAAACCCCCGAATTTTAGGCCAAAGTTATCTTTAAAAATTCTAAGATGTCCTTCCTTTTTGCCAAGCTGTATAACTAGAACCTAAAAAATGGAAGTGAATTAATCAGGAGTATATTTGTTACTTTTTCATTGCTGTGTCAACATACCTGACAAGAAGCAGCGTAAAGGAAAAGGGTTTGTTTTGACTTATAGTTCAAGGGGATAGAGGCCATGATGGGGAGGGGAGCGTGGCAGCAGGAGTGGGAGGCTGATACTGCATCTGTGGTCCGAAAGCAGAGAGAAAACAGGATGTAGGGCCAGGCGATAAAGTCATAAAGTTGCAAGACATGCCCCTAGAGACCCACTTCCTCCAGCAAGGTTCCACATCCTAAAAGTTCTACAGCCTTCCCAAATAGTGCCATCAGCTGGGGACTGAGTGTTCAAACACAAGCCTGTGGAGGACATTTAGCATGGAGTTGACAAATGACTGGCTTTCAGGCACGGCTAGTGCCAAGGAGTGAATCCAGGGTCTTCCCCATCCCAAGTATCCCCTGCCATTTATGTTAATATTTTGTCTTTTTAGTTTTCATTATATATATTCATTATACATGTACTGTGTAAAAATAAGGACTTTTAAAAATATTTCAATATTATATTTTAAGCATAAAATCATTTATTTTCTATGACAACCTTCAAATCAACTACTATTACTTCCACTTCACAGGGGAGAATAGTGAAATACAGAGATTTTAGGTAAGTTGTGCAAAGTCTTGTGGGTGAAACTGGCATTCAGATGCACAAGGACATTTCATACAGGGATATAGTATATGTTGAGCATACCACCCCCATCCCGTCTCTTTCTCTATCTCCCACCTCCCCTCCTGTTAGTCCCTAGACAACTTCACTTCCTCTTTCATGTCATACACGCACATGGTTTTATGTATCTATATAAAATCTAGGAACCACACATGAGAGAAAAGATTTTTTTGTGAGACCATCTTAATTCCTTAATATGATTATTTTCAGTCACATCAACTTTCTTGAAAACAACATCTTTGTTCTTTATGATTGAAAAAATTCCATTATGTGTATAAATATTTTCTTTATCCATTGGACACCTAGGTTGTTTGTGAGTAGTGACGCAACAAACACTGATGCACAAGTATCTCCATGATGGGTACATTTGGAGCCCTGTGAGTAAATACCCAGGAGTGGTATGGCTGGATCATGTGATAGGTCTATTTAGTTTTCGGGGGGACCTCCACATTGGCATCCATAGAGACTGGACTAGCTACAGTCCACCAGCAGTGTCTACAGGTTCCTTTTTGTTCACATTTTCACTGGCATT